AAATATGCAGACAGGGGCAGTCTATTTATTTGCAGCCCTTTAGTCCAAATGCTGCATGCTAAATGCAATCAATAACATTGGATTTGATCTAGGCCTTGTTTCAAGAGCAAATCTACAGTGTCATCTATCTTAATGAAAGTTAATTGAAACCAACACTCATCCCTCATGAGTTTGAAGCTATCAATAGATATAAAAATTTGTTTTAAACAACATTAGAAAATGTGACAGCAAGGAGAAAGATACAATAACAAGAAAATGGAACACTAAAAATAGTACTGGTCCTTTGTCCCCATGCAGGAAATGTAGGCACCTCAATGCCTTGTATAAGAACATTTTTTTCAGATACAGAATTGGAATAAACTCGCATGCCACATTTTATAGATGGGGAAACTGAGCCACAGAGATATTAAGCAACCTGCCCACAGCACATGATAAACCAGCCTTAATCCCCAGGTCCTTCCTTATCCATTCCTTCTCACATGAGTGCATTGAAATATCCAGCTCCACTGTTCATAATCAGTAGTTATCATTTACAAACCTGACATAATATGGAGAAATTGAGTTGTCCCAGGAAATCAGTTACTTTGCTATATGCATTTTCCTCAGCCAAAAGGAGATGCTAGAAATCTGGCTCTTTCTTAGGAGGCTGAGAATTTCTTTACTTGGGTTTTTGCCTCTTAATTCACTGAGGGTTGGTTTAGGGAAGTTTAGGGAAAGGCATTTATTTTAGATGGAAATTCTACTCAACCATCTTGTTAATGCCAACTGTAGTTTGATACATGCCCATCAGTACAGGACACTTCTTCCTGACAGTTTCTGTTAACCTTCTTTCATTGCGCTGCTTGCTAAATGACCATCTCTGGTGTAGTTTGAAATCCCACCTGCCATAGGGGGTCAAGTGTTACCTTATGTCTTTACAGTGAAGTCTGTTTAAGGTGCCATGCCAAATTTAATCCTCATGCAGTAGTTCTTGATCACTAGTTGTCGTTTAATCAGATTGAGTTGGAGCTTTCTGCCAGTTAAGCACAGTGGAGTGATACCTGCATTATTTTATGCACCACCCAGATGATTCCTGCTTTTTCTCCCCTTGATTTAGTCCTTATCTGATGGCATCTTACTTCCATGGAAAAGAGGGAGAATAAGACAGCTTCTTCTCCTGGTCATTGCCCCACTTTTCTAAAGATCTGTATGTAGGTGGTATCTGTATGATTCATGTGGCACTGCCAGCACTTTCACATACCCTCCAATTAACGAACTGATTATGTCACCTTTGGACAATTTGTCCATGATGTGAAAGCCTGACCAGGACCTGTACCTGACAGACAGCACAATGACAAAACATGTAAAAAGCTTCCTCCAGTATATTCACCATTAACCAGCTGCTTCCCACTTTCTTCAGTCTTTCATTTGTGGTAGAGGTTCCTATTAGTTAAATCCAGAAAAAGCATTTCAGTGAGCTTAACTTCAAGAACATGAGGGGCATAGTCCTATTTCATTTATGTGCCCAAATAGCATTTACCTTGCCATGTAACTGCAGTTTTTGACCCTTATGCATAGTTTGCGGTCCTCTTCTACATGTAGCCTAGACGTATAAGTGTTCACAAAGATGCTAAGTATTCTCAGTAGGTTGTGCCCTGGCCAGGCATCATATTCATGTAAATCCTCAATTTATATCTGGGAAAAAGCCAATAACTAATGGCTGTTAGATGTTGGAAGAGGGTCTCCCCCAGGTTTTAGCATAATAAGCAAATAATTGAGGCTCTTATCAAGGAAACAGGGGTCACAGGTTATAGTCCCCTCCCTCCATCTCTTGGTTATTAGCAAAGTGGTCTACCACCTGGCCATGGGTTAGACATTATACAATTCTCTCTTCTGCCTCTTCTTCCCTGGGCAGCCAAGAAATAAAGAGAGATGTAGGGCCAGGAGGAAGAAAACAAGCTGGAGGCTATATGGTTCAGTGACATGCCTGATTCCCTGGAAAAGAGAAGTCCCTAGATTCTACTTTGGCACTTTATGCCCAGTGGGACACACACTTTTCCACTGTTCTCCATCCATCTACTTTGCCAAGTGATAAATGCAAGGTGCAGTGGCTCAGCTTTAAGGAGAGCAATGTGCATAATACCTAACCTGCAACCTGGTGCTTAGAGCACTGTTGGAAACAGAAGGTATAGACTCAACTTCCGTCTGAGTGAGGAAGCCCTGCAACCTCGATCTACCACTTTTTGGGGGAGTTCCATAACCCCTATTCTATTGGGCTAAAACATGGGAGGTTACCCATTCTCCCTTCTTCAAATACCTACTTGCCACCAGTTTTTATCTGCCTACAGTTTTAGGGTTTTTGCTCACCCAGGTATACAAGTATGGTGCTACATAGCTGCACAACCAGAATATAACCTACAGAGTATGGTCAGTAGCCATGTGGGTGCTTGGTCATCCTGTGTGTAAGCATCAAGTGTCACAAACTGTTGTTACACAGCTGGGTAAGTGCCATTTGAGGGCATACAGTGAAATAGGTTCCTGCCCAAAGTGTCTCACTGACTTGAAGGAGCTTTCTCTGCTTGACATCTATGTCCAGGCCAGGGCAGAGTGGCTCCATTTGAGGTCAATGATGTCCAGTGAGAAGTTTCTGCACCTTGCAGGATTCAACCCTACATATTTTGTTTGAAGGTTTTCACCCATTGTTAGGTTTAGACTGTGGCTGGACTGTATCCAATAGGTCCTTCCTTTATATTGGCATTTCCTTGTTTTTTGAAATAAGAAACACATTTTTTTTTATTATTAAAAAGACTTTTAGAACAAACACTTTGATCATTGGCCCACCTTGGGAGTAAAACCCCTTGGAAAAATCCTACTCTACACATACTTTGTGTTGAGCATGGAACTGTGAATCTGTATGATCTGTTTTCTGATTTAGAGTTTCAAATTCAACCAGGTTCAAGTGCATTATATTATATAAAAATAATAAGATACACTAGGCCAAATTCTGCTTTTCTGCTTTTATACCTGTGCAATTCTCTGGAGTCTGGCATTTAATTATGGAAACAGTTATTGCACAAAATTAACTGATGGCTGAATCTGGCCCCTTCCATTTATTGTAAAAAGTTAATTTTTTCCCCACAATCCTTGGTCCTTTTATTTTAACCATGATTTTTTTTTAATTGCAGTCCTTATATATATTCTTAATCCCCCTTTAAACTTTGTTTCTAATCCATAAAGCTGCCATCAAGTTCAGGCAGCTGAATTATTCTGGCTTTTAATAGTTTAATTATTCTGTCTCTCAGAAAGGTTTATTTTTTACTCCTGATCATAAAGTCAATATATGTGACATTAAGTATTCAGAATATAATTCAATCCTGCCAATAAAGCTATTTTTCTTTGACCAAAAATATTTGATTAGCAGAGTGGTTATCACACTGTAAGAGTTTCAAGTGTATTAGAGACAGGCTATTTAAGGAAACAGGGTGGCATTTCCTAATGATCAATGATGGCTCTAAAGCTGTGGTTTTCAACTTTTTTTCATTTGCAGACCCTTAAAAAAAACTTGAAAACAGAGGTGCAGACCCCTTTGGAAATTTTGAATGGAGGTGCTTTGAATTGTAAGTGTGGGTGTTCACATACTTTTGATGAATCATAATTATTTTTTGTGGACCACCAGGGGTCTGTGGACCACAGGTTGAAAACCAGCGCTCTAAAGATTTGATAAAGCCTGGTCCAAGCCCCTTGAATTCAGCAGGCGTGTTTCCCTTGACATCACTGGACTTTGAACTTAGCCCTTTAATGTGTTTCAGGTTCTTATTCCCCTGGTTGCCAAAGAACTGGGTCAGGGGGTGGAGAAAAGATTAGAAAAAAGTCACAAAATAGACTTTAGATGAAATTTCTGAAATGGGAATAATAGATAAATGAGGTATTCCTTGGAGTCACTAGTGCTTTCCACTGTATTTATGGGAATTACTGGAGCAGACAGTTCACCTACTCCAGGACCTTGCCCCCAGCAACAGCCAACACCTCATGCTTCATTCACAGGACAAGAAAAAGGGCTGTAATTGCAATAATAGGTTTAATTTCAATAGCATAAATCACTTGGCACCAGAACAGGCTGGAGAGAACCATCCTGCCTTGCTAGGGAGTTGGGGTGAAGAGGGACAAGAGGCAGGAGAGAGGTGGCAGGTTCCGAAGGGTCTTCCCCATTTCTAGCTTAGGCATGATTCATTTCACATCAAGCCTTTCCATGCCAGAGCTTTTATAGCTCATTAGCAGCAAACACCGGCAAGATATAAATTTCTTATATTGCTACTAAGCAGGACAATTGTGCAGACACCAGTGACTATATGAGGCACAGAGGAGGAGAGACACAGGCACGGATGACACAGATCAGGGTGGGCTTGGTTCTGCTGTAGTGTGTGCTTTATGCCCTCATCTCAAAGCCCTGAGCAAAGGGGGTTGGATGGGGAGGGCACTTAAGTGTCTTTGGCTGTGCCAAAGTAGGGGGTGTTTTATGCTGTGCCAGTAACATAGTAGGGGGTGCTTTATGCCCTGATCTCGAAGCCTGGGGCAAAGGGGTTGGATGCAGAGGGCATTTCGGTGAAATAATAGTGGGTGCTTCGTGCCCTGATCTCGAAGCCTTGAGCAAAGGGGGTTGGATGGAGAGGGCACCTAAGTGCCTTTGGCCAGTAACGTAGTAGGGGGCGCTTTAAAAGCAAACCAGCCCTGAGAGGCATTTCCCAGCAGTGTTGCCCTCCGTTGCGGAGCACCCCCCACCCCGCTGCGGTCCCAGCCCTGGCTCAGGCAGAGCCCGCCTGGCCCTTTAAGCCGGCGGCCCCGCGGGATGCTGCTGCGTGCGCGGCCGCCCCCCCCCCGCGGGCCAGGGGGAGCCGAGCCGAGCCGGGCCGGGCCGGGCCCGGCAGCTGCGGGGCGGAG